AATAGTTTGTTGTTGTTTTTTTTTAATTTTATTTATTTGTTTTTTTTTGTTCAATCAAAAATCCCATCTTGTCTTTTTTAGATGATGGCGATGGTGAGGTACGGAGAAAAAGCAGAGGAATGCTTAAAATGTATTATGGTATTGATGAAGAGAAACCTGGTTCTACCACAATTGACCCTTGTGATATTGACGGAGCCCACTTCAAACACGATGTGTTCCTCAACAAACTCATTCGAGAGAAATCACTTACAGAACTCATGGACAGAGAAACAGATGTCCTGCGACAAATTCGAGCCCTGGACAGTGAGATGCAGACATTGGTCTATGAAAATTATAACAAGTTTATCAGTGCCACAGACACAATCAGAAAGGTCAGTAAATATTTGCTCTCTAAAAAAAAGAACCGTTTTCCTTTTTTACATATTTTTATGAACATGTCTTGGATTGATGATGATGATGATAAAATATCCTTCTCATTCTTTATGGTTAGTATGCTGATAAGTTTATATTTGGAGTTGGGAGGAAGAAACTAAACTGCTTTATGGTATTCATTTTTTCTAATAAGTCGAAATTAAGCAAAATAATGCAAATTAATGCTTCCCAACAAAATCCCATGACCATAAACAAAGAAAAACTGGTAGTCATCAATAACTCTGTCTATCAGGATTGGGGTGAGAGCACACTGGTTTCAAAACAAAGTTTGGCATGAAAGATATTGAGGCTTAAGTAGCAAAAGCTTAAGCTGCTTTTGGATTATTGATGCAGGTATGAAATAGAACCAAGATAAGCAGAAACACCAAAGCCAGACTTTGTCAAACCCTGGTCATCCCTGTCCTATTATATAGTTATAAGACCTGGAAAATAATTTTGGGAGATGACAAGCTTATTGACCTAAGGTGGTGTCATCGAAGACATCAAGGTAAGAGTTGCAATGGCCATGGTGGCTTTTGGCTGATTGAAGCAGGTATAGAATACAACCATGATAAGCAAGAAACACCAAGATTGGGCTTTATAAAACCTTAGCCATCTGTGTCCTATTTGGTAGTGAGACCTGGAAAAATGAATCAGTGAGATAGCCAGGTTATCTCTGTCCTTTTATATATTTGTAAAACCTGAAAAATGAATAAACTTGTTAACCTAATGTGGTGGTATAGAAGACATCAAGGCTAGTGTGACAATGGCCTGGGTCGCTATTGGCTGATTTATGCACGTGTAGAATACAGCTAAGGTAAGCAGAAAGACTAAGATCAGGTTTTATAAAACATTGGTCATCTCTGTCCTATTAGTGAGACCTGGATTTGGGAGATAACAAGTTTATTAACATAAGATGGTGGCATAGAAGACATGAAGGCAAGTACAGCAATGGACAGGGTGGCTTTTGGCTGATTGATGCAGGTATGGAATAGAACCAAGATAAGCAGAAACACCAAGACCAGACTTTATCAGACCTTGGTCATCCCTGTCCTATTATATAGTTATAAGACCTGGAAAATAATTTTGGGAGATGACAAGCTTATTGACCTAAAAAATCCTTAGTATCAAGGTATGGAGAAGATGAATGTTCATTGGCCACCCAAGTCAAAATGCAAACAATGTTTGAATGTGGTACAGTCTTGAGTCCCTGAAGGAAAATGGAGAAGACCAATAACAATATAGCAAAGGACTGTGGAGAGGGAAACAGAAGAAATAGGTTGGTGATCCTGGAGTGAGGTACAAGTGGCACCTGCAGACAGGTTTGAGTGGAGACATTCTTTTGAGGTTTTATATGCTATGAAGCACCAAGCAGATAAATAGATAGATACAATAGGTACAAGTCAAATTTCAGAAATAAAACATGGAGCAGGGCACTATAGTGTACATTTCTATCATAATTTGTATTTTAATTCATTTTATTTTCTACTTTTTATTTTTGTAGATGAAAAATGATTTTAAAAAGATGGAAGATGAGATGGATTTGTTGGCCACCAACATGGCCTCGATCACAGAGTTCAGCGCCAAAATAAGTGACACACTTCAAGATCAACGGCAACAAATTACTAAACTGGCTGGTGTACATGCTCTACTGAAAAAGGTAAGCAAATAAGATCCCTAGACCTTCATATACCAAGTTCAAATGAAGTTACCTCCCCTGAATCTATACCAGACCTTTCCTTTTAGGTTTGAGAGAAAGTGTCTCATTCTTTCTCCTAGGAAAAAAAGTTCAGATTTATACCTTTTCTTTTCAAATTGAGAGAAAGGGACTTGTACAGCACTACTCTCATTCCCTTTTTTCTGTCTGTCAGGATAGAAAAGATAAAATTTTTATATCTTTCTTCGGGACATTATTTTTTCTCTTAAGTTCACCCAATACATGGCACAAAAGCCACTTATGTTTGAAGGTTTTTGAAAGAGGCATGTGAAATAAATGTCAGAGAAAGTAAAAGGCAGTGAAGATTATGAGGATAAGGAGGATAGACTGCAATTGGCCCTTGAATTGAAGAGGTTTAGATTGTAGTATTCAGGTAAGCGTCCATGTAGGAGTTTGTTTCAGGAAAAAGCTGAGTGGAATGTCCTCCTTACAAATAGAATACAGAGGAAATGTAGGTGATATGACTCTGTGGACATAGCATGCCTGCCAGGTCCTAGCAGCAAAAGTCTGAACTGACGGAACTAAAGAGTGGTGTTCATCTGAACATTTGCTATAGGAGTAGCAATAGGCCTGCAACTTTGCATCTGTTGGGAAAGAGGCTGTAGAGTGGAAAATAAGTCTTTCCTCTACAAGATCACATATAGGATCTAAATCCTATATTGTTCTCAAAACTACAAAAATTAAACAAAACATAGGCTCCAAATTAAATTACACAACTAAGTAATTTGTTTGGTTCAAAAATATCACATGTCATGTCATTGACTACATCTGCACATCTGACCTTAATTTGACCTGATCAAAAGTACATCAGTGCCAAAATTTTAAAATATTTTCTGGAGCCTATCACATGACTTATATTGCTTATATAAACAACAAACAATTAAGAAACAGAAAATGGGAAAAATCAGCCAAAAAAAGCTACACGTTACGTGATGACACTCATCATAAAATAACTTTCAACTGAAGTCCACACTATAAGTTAAAAAATCTTTTTTTAACATAACCACAGTCTATTTCTTTCATCCAATGCAAACTAAACATAGGCAAACAATGAAGCGTCAGACACTCAAACATTAAACATGACATAATTCACTCTCACATATGCTTTTTCCACAAACTTTGACCTGTTTATTTTTAAATACAAAAACAATGTTACATTGAACTGAATTTTTTCAAATTCACATAAATTACCCTATAACTTGCAGTCTATCAAATTGGAACATTACCTCACACAAAATCTAAAAAGACAAGATTATTTCACTATTTAAAACAACATTCATAACTATTGTTTTGTACATTTGTTATATAAAACATCTATTTATTTGTACAATATCTTTTGTCTGAATTTTCATGTTTCTTCTTCTTATTATTATTTTGTGGCATTGTGTTTAATATAAACTAGCAGTAGAGCCCGGCGTTGCCCGGGGATATAACAGTAAGAGATAGATCAAGTATCCACCATCATAAAGACTGAAAAATAAAATTGACAAAGATTATTGTTTAAGGTTGACGGACACGCATGTTTTAATTAGTTTTTTTTTTTTTTTTACGAATTGGTCAAACCCAAACTCAAACAAAACCATTGTTTTCAATCGTTATGAGTCTCCCAATTGAAAAGAATAATTTTATAAACAATTGTCTTGTAAATGGAATTTTTAAAGCATTCTGAATGTAAAAATAAAGAAAAAAAATGTGCAAGACAATAAAAATACTACATGCCAAAAAAAAAAGGGAAGTTTTTGTTGAAATCGGTTGAAAAATGTAGGTAGCCTTTCTGTAATCTTTTAGTTTTACAATTTATGATTTTTACTTATTGAATACAGTAAAAAAAATTGCATATTTTTGCTTGTGGTGATTCATAATTAGAATTCTGATTTGAATATATTTTCCACTCGTTGTTTCTAATACAAAAATATTAACTTTATTTGGGTTTTATTAATTATGATCTAACAAATCTTATTCATTTAGTAGCCTTTCTGTAATAATAATCTTTTAAAATTTATGATTTTTACTTATTGAATACAGTAAAAAATTGGACACCATGTGTATTTAAAGTAGTTTCCGTTCGGTTATTATTTTTAGTTAGGACTTGTGTATGTTTAGATTTCATTATCTTTCCTAAAGATAAAGAATTTATTCCGATGTTTGTATTAATTACAATCAGTAGAGATTGTTAGATTATTGTTTAAGGTTGACGGACACGCATGTCTTAATTAGTTTTTTTTTTTTAATTTACGAACTGGTCAAACTCAAACTCAAACAAAAAACATTGTTTTCAATCGTTATGAGTCTCCCAATTGAATAGAATTTTATTATAAATAATTGTCTTGCAAATGGAATTTTTAAAGCATTCTAAATGTTAAAAATAAAAAGAAAAAAAGTGTGCAAGAGAATAAGAAACACTACCTGCCAAAAAAAAAAAAAAAAAAATGAAGTTTTGTTTATTTGAAAAATATAGGAAATCCGCTCCCATATTTAAAAGGAAGCCACACACAAAACAACCTGATGTGAGTTGTCCCCTTCCATTTTCACAATGTCTCTTAATCGTGTTTTCAAATTGATTTTGTGCAAAAAACAATTATATTTTTCCCATTTTTGGCGCTGTTAGAACCACCAAGGTAATTTTATGTAGTCCTGTGAAGTTTTGTTGAAATTGGTTGAAAATGTAGGAAATCCGATCCAATATATAAACGTTACAGACACACACACACAATCTGCGTTTTATAATAAGTAAGATAAGATTAGTGAAGGCAATTGATCCTCACACATGTAAACAATTTTGAACTCTATCAAGGCTGAAATAGAATGATGGGGTAATCCCAGCCTAAACATAGCAGCAATACTCAAGTTTTGGGGCTAACAGCCACATCACATTAAAACACAGGTTCCCATATGATCACCAAAGTTAAGCAACATCAAGCCTGGTCAGTACCTAGATGAATGACCACTTGGGAATATCAAGTAAGCTGTAAGCTTGAATGTGTGAGTGATGTAATGGATAATGACTTGGAATTGTTAATCAGAGAGTCAAGTTCAAATTTCTGTTGGGTTTGTTATATTCACTTATGCGCAAATAACCTTGGGAAATGTATGAATTAACCTCTTCTTCTCTCAGCTTAGAGTTAATTAGACTTGTATCACTAAATCATTATTATCTCCCCACAAAAAATCTTACAATCTAAAAAAATATTTTCTGGCTTTAAATAGACGGCAAAGGGTTGCTAATCCATAGAAAATGAATGAATCAATCAAATCCAGTTTTAGTCTAATCTGATTCTTATAAAGGTAAAGCATGCAGATAATTAAAATTGAAAATATACTACAACCTGAACCAATTTGAATCCCTGAACCTGAATATAACTGCTTTACCTCTAAATTTCCTTGTATAGTCAATTATATTAAAATGAACAGAAAAATAAAGAACTAATCTGCTGTGAAGAGCCCATTAATCAGACTTTCTATGTTTTCTTTTTCAGTTGCAGTTCCTCTTTGAATTACCTGCACGTCTCAAGAAGTGTGTAGAAATGGAAGCCTACAGTCAGGCTGTGAGGTAGGTCGCTAAGAATGTTGTCTAATGTTTGTCTTTCTGAGCCTTTTTTTAAAGGGTGTTGTGTCCATAAAGAAATACATAAATAAAAAATTAACTATACTGTCACTTTGTTGTGTCCATAAAAAATAAATAAATAAAAATTAATTATAGTGTCAAATTAATTCACTCTTTCTAAACCAATGATAATCAACCCCACTTTTCTCCTCTACATACACAAACATGCAACATCTCACTATCAGACAAGCAGTCAACACAGACAGGCAACATCTCACTATCAGACAAGCAGTCAACACAGACAGGCCGTCAACACATGTATCAGTGAAAATTTTGGCTTCTTTTCTTTTTTCAGGCTATAATAGTAACATTTATCTCTTAGCACTCAACAAAAATTTGAGGTAAGAAAACCCCAGACACTTTTTGTATTTTCTAACTAAATTACCTGGACACTCTTTACACACATCTATAAAAAAAACTTACAAGAAAGACTGCATACACTTATTCTTTATCCTATCATTCTGTCAGATTCAGATCCATATTTGATCTACATTTGACTCTAAACTCACAAGTTTACTCAGTATTACTGTCTCTTGTGTCTCCACATAACAACCAGATAATAAATAATACTCATTTTGTTGCTTCTACATCTTGCTGTTTCTCATTTTTACAAGTATTTTTGTATATATAAATGTTAGGGGATTTATAATTTTTTTTTTATATTATTAATTCTCTAACCTAAAATACTTGTAAAAGTGAGAAACAGGAAAATGTAGAAACAACAAAATGAGTATTATTTATTATCTTGTTGTTATATGGCATTGTTGTATATAGCCCCCCACCCTGGTGGGGTGGTCTTGGGCGACGGAGTTTATTCACTCATATGTTGTATCTTCTCTGTCTCACTAGTTTGTTTTGGTTCAGAGATGAAAGAACTTCAACACAGGGAATTTTAACTATTTTATTAACATCGATATATACATTTTCTAACAAAACAGTAGGGTTGCTCTCCCTCCACTGTGAAACAGTTTCCAGACACAAAGAGGAAACATGTCTACATTGCTTGACACTTTAGAAACAACACTCTGAAATCCCTTTCTATATCTCATTCAACCAATCAAAATCGACTTCCTTTATTTTGTCTTGTATCTGACCTCGAAGGTCAACCACAGGATGTCCAAACAGAAATACACTTCTCTAAAAAATAATAGTCTGCTAAACTATTATTTAACAGTGTTGGAGACACAAGAGACAGTAATACTGAGTAAAATTGTGAGTTTGGAGTCAAATGTAGATCAAATATGGATCGGAATCCAATAGAAGGATAAAGAATAAGTGTAAACAGTCTTTCTTGTATGCTTTTTATAGATTTGTATAAGTGTGCAGATAATATAGTTGTGAAATGCAAGAAGTGTTATTTACTTGGAGTTATAACTCCCCTACAAGGGTATCCCAATTTGACCAACACTGATTCTCTTTACAGATACTACACAAAAGCAGAGAAAGTGTTGATTCAATACAAGCATATGCCTAGTTTCAAAGGTATCCATGAAGACTGTATAATCATTGTTGGGGAACTCAGCCAGAAACTCAAAGAGAAATTCCAGGAAAAAGATGTGAGTTGATTTGCTATTATTTTATAAAATCACTTTTATTGAACTCTTATTTCTTGATTCCATTTCAACTTTCACTTGAGATCTGATACTGCACATGATTTTTATAATCCAGTAGTGATGTTCTTTGTCACAGGTCAGACACAGTAACTGATGATACAGTGTCAATAAGTGTACTTTTGCTGATTGATGACTACAAAACCCCATGAAACATAGCATCCAGTGTACAATGCATTGATAATTGGGTTCAGCCTTGAATTAAGATTTAATTGGATGCAAACTTCCTCTTCATTGGATGGTTAAATTCTCTGTCAATTACTGGCAGTTCCATTCTTGTATCATGTCATCACTCATATGTTTTCTGTTTGCAATTCACAAATTCCTCATATACTCATGACTTTAAAAAATCACAAATACTTTCCTTTGGATATAGAATTATAGTGATAGAGAAAGAAATAAATAACAAGAAAACCAAAATGTCACTTCTCAAAAAGAGATCAATAATAAAAATCATCAGGTAAACAAAGCCATGGTTCCACCAACCAATTAGAAAGCTTTCACAAGCAGGATGTAAGAAAAGAAATAAATAATAACAAAGAGACAAAAATTTCCCCATTTATAAAAATAGATAGTTTGTTCAACCAATCAGAAAGCTTTCAATCAAGATATAAGGCTGTGATCCAATGAGAAGCAAGCAGCCTTTTCAAATTGGATCTCTAGATGTACATATAAACAGATGGAAAATAAACTAAAATCAGGGTCAATAAATTAATTTTGTCCATTCATCTAAGCTGCAGTCATTATAACATACTCTGAGACAAAATATGACATTTGCACAACTAGCTGACAACCTTACATAGCTAAACCATTCCTCGCTACATTGAAAAACAAATATACCTTCCTTCACCACTTGGTCAAGCAGCGGCTACTATACTTGGATAAATACATACATATATATTTACTTCCTCTAGAACTCTTTCTCTTTCTATCTCTCTTATGTGCCAGGACTTTTACATTTGAACTCCTGAAACTTCAATTTTCACTTATCCTTTTGTATTATTATATTGTGATATATAAAGATTTATTTTGTATTTTTCAACACTTTCTACCTTATCATTACACAAGGCCAATATACAACCAAACCAATTATACCGATATATGGTGTGAACTGATGTTGTCATAAGATAACCTACTCACCCTCGCAAGTGATAACCACCTATCCTTCAGAGATTGTCTCAACTTTCTAGTCTTAACAATCATTCCACAATCAAACAGTGTTAATTTCAGTGTTAATATCCTATGGCTGCCACAGTTACACTACTTATTTAGCTATTACATTACATATGCAACATTCAGCTGTGTTCATTTTTACAAGTGAGAGAGAGCAACACCATCTTGTCTATTGCTATTTCTCATTTTGGAGCACATTAATAACAATTTAGAATTTGGATATATGCATTGATTGGGTGCTTGCTGTAGGGCAGTAGTTTGGTCTTCCATTTGGTTTGATTTTTACTAGATGTGTGGAACCATTGTCCTGGGTATGACGATAAACTACATCCAGCAGCAAGGCCTCTGATCAGGAGGATTTGAGGAATGTAGAACTGCCTCTTAATTGCTGTTGTCCCCAGGTCCACCCTGACCTAGTGTGGTAGCACCTGCTAGGGTCCCAGCTATGGGCAAATAGTGACCCCCCCCAAAACTGGGATCAAAACACTATTAAAGTATAAAAATAGATTTTTATAGTAAAAATTTCCATCTATAGATTTTAATAAAAAAACAAATTCCATCAATTGATTTTAATAGTAAGAAAAAATTCTTATAATAGATTTTAATAGAAAAAACAATTACTAGAGCTCCCAAGAAAATAAAATTTCAGTATTAAATGACCCATAAGGAGTTGACATGCCATTAAACAAACCAAACAAAACTGTGGAACCATGCCAAAGCTTAGCTTTATCAATTTTTATACACATTACTGATTGATAATTTCTAGTTGTTTTGCTATGCCTAAAAGAATTCTTAGATCTTTACAGTTTCTTATCATTCATTAACTCATAATAAATGGTAAATTTTTTTTTTTTATTTCTCTTGTAGTCAAGCCCTAAAGAACTTGCTGAATGCGTTGATTTATTACTGGAGTTGAATGAACCTGCAGAACTATTATGTGATGAATTCTTGGCACAGTGAGTTTTTGTTTAAATCCAAATTTGTTATTCTTGGTTCCAGTCTGCATAGGAATGACTGCAAAAACATCCCTCTCTTCAAATTTATCGACAAATCATATAGATGCATGCTGGGATTTCTTCCTAACAAATAAAATTGTAACAAAATATGGGATTCGGTAGCACAGACACTAGAAACTCCCTCACAATGAATTCTGGTTTAGTACGCGACAACATGAATTATGATGAATGCACAAAAGTCCTTCTGCCGACTCAACAAGGACTCACTTTTTATACGTTCTTGCCGAGCCAGAGAATTTGCATATTGGGCATGCTGCCAGCCTCGATTTGACTCACTGACGCATACGCCTCGTCATTTCAGGCTACTCTAGCCCTTTTGGACCTCCAGGGTAATTCTCCACAAAAATAGATGACTTCTTGGTCTCATCTGCCATATTTTTGTTCTTTCTTATCTTGAAGTCAGAACACTACAATCACTTGACTGTATCCCTTTTGCGTGTTAACACCATTCTTACTTCGTGAACTTTTTGCCTTATTACTGTTTCATTACCTAGTTTTGACTTGCATATACAAAGTGCGATGGGTAAATTGTCTCCATTTTATATTTTGAATTTCGCATATGTGTGTTG